TGAACAGTACCTCGTGAACAGTAACTTCAACTCCCAAAATTGACAAAACATAGCTAATTCACGGGGTTTCTCTCCAAAATCTCACAACAGTCATAACAAGCTAATTTTCTACTTAAACCACACTTAAAACATAGCTTAAAGCTACCAAAATTCATTCCAATTTCCTGGACAAGCAATGGAGACCCACGGCTTTGGCCAACAATGGCTAAGTCACGGGATTACTCCTACACAACATCACAACAGCCTAATTAACAAAATTCCTACATGAATTAAACTAAGAAAAACCATCTCACGGCTGTCGGAATTCTCCCCTTTTTCAGCAGAAAACCCGAACAGTACAAGGACAAATCAAGGCAAGAAATTCAAAGATTCAGGGCGACAATTACATGGATAAATTGGACTTGGAAGGGCCGGCAACTTACCAGAATTCCAGCAAGCAAACCGGAGCTAGCAGGGGAAAGAAGCCGGCGAGAATTCTCTGCAGGGGACTCACGGGACCAACCCAAAATGGAGAACCCAGAGAAATTAAGGCAAACCCAACTTAAATCAAAGCTAAAAGATGAAATCATGGCTGTTCTTACCAGAAAAGCCGAGAATTCACACCCACACAAGCAGAGGCCGACGGACAGAGGGGAGAAGACAGCGCAGATCTGGAATTTCCAGCAAGGAGGGGGGATTTCTGGGTTCAAGAACAAGAAAAGAAGGAGAAAACCCCCAAGCTTTGCTGGATTTCCGGCCGGAAATGGGTGGCGGTAGTTGGTGGGCTTCTCGGGTGCAGAGGGTCGGGGGGCAGAGCATCGGGGAGAAGAAGAAGATAAGGATGAGCAAAACACGTGGCTGAGGAGAGAAATATCAGCCTTGATCCTTATCCTAATTTTCTTTCTTTTAAGTCCCTCAACTTTTAAAAAATTTGATTATTAAGCCCCTCAATAATATTTTCCCTCAAATAAGTCCCTTATTAAATGCTAAAATATCCCCAAAATTTTGGGATATTACAGCATTAATCTAACCTTTTATTTTTTATTTTACCTTTATTAAATTGTATTTGAAAAGCATAACATTTTGTTTTCCATCTTAAATTACTTCTGTAAGTTACTTTTAGTTGAAATCTTTTCACTTCTTTATTTACAACTTTGGTTTCGTTTTGTATTTAAAATGTATTTACTTTCAAAAAGAAGAACTTAAAAGGACATATTTAATCTTATATACTTACTCTAACCAAATATTCTTTTTACTTAAGAGAAAAAAAAATTGAAATTTCATTTGTTTCATTCCTTTTTAAGCTCACCCACCCTCAATTCTCATTGCATTTCTTGGATTGATTTTTCAAAATTATCCACAAGAATTGAAATGAATTGAAGCTAGCCATTTGTGAGAATAAAAGTTGAAAACAGTTATAATTAGAATTTGTTTTCCATTTGGTACAATTTTGGTTGATAATTTACTACTTCTAGTTATATCATTTTGGCTTTTAATTTCCAAAATCTTTTCTACTCAATAATATTTTTATATGATATTTGTCATGTTATTTTATTTGTTAGATTACTAATTTTTACTTTTATTTTGATATACATGTTTTAACTATTTTCATATTGTTATAGGATTATAGGTATCCCACATATGCTATTGAAAAGTCTAATTTTGTTGAAGTTTATCTAGGGTATATCAATCTTTTTCTAATTATATAAATATATGATTTAGTTTTCATAAATTGTATATTTAAAATGATATTTTTAATTTCATTGTTAAGTTTATAGTTTAATATTATTTCATTTTAAAAGTTTAATTTCTTACTTCCATTTGTGGTTAAGTTTTATTTAATATACTTATCAAAAAAGTGTTTTTATGGTTGAATTACATGAAAAGTGTGCAAAAATATCTATAAAATTATTTAAGTATTTTCAATGAATTATTCATATGTGTTGATTCATTAATGGTGTTTAACTCTTTTTAAATGCATTCTTACACTTTCATCCTATAGGTTAACCTGAAAATCTATATATATACATATGTATGATATCAATGTTTATTAGTTAGACATGTAAAAAAATTAGGTAAAAAGACATTCAAA